TTTGTTTGTTTGTTTGTTTGTTTCATGTTTTATAATCTCTCTTTACATGTAACAAAGCGATGGAGTTCCAGGAAACTTTAAAATATTTGTTTTGAGTCGACAATTAAGCGCTAGCAGAATAATTCACTAGTGAAATGAAGGAAAAAATTAACATATTAATAAAGGAAAAAAAGAGTGTAATTCATTTTGACATAAACGTTATTGTTCATAACCTTTTACTAAGGGAAGTGGAAATTAATATTTCCAAGAGCAATAACTGTTTTCACTTTCGATTCCGGCTAATTGTACGTGTTAAATAAATATGATAAATACGAAGGTTATAACGAGTATAACATAGAGGATATTACATGGGCACGCGGAGATACGAATTTTATCTTCTTCGAGTATTCAATTGATATCTCACTCGTTCGCTGCGCTCACTCGTGAGATATCCAAATTGAACACCAGAAGATAAAATTCGTATCTCCAAGCGGCCATGTAATGTTCTGTTTATTAAATAGATATCGATGAAACTCAAATAAAGCAAAAGCTCAAAAATTACTATGTCAACAGTGATATCTTCACGTGTGAAAGATATGGTATCTTCTACTGGTGAAAGATATCAAGTATTCGTAGTAGGCTTTTTGGTAAACGTCCATCAAATAGTTTTTTCCATAGTCAATCATGCGACACTCGTGCCGCACTCGTTATTTCAGACTAAGAAAGCGAACGCTATATTCTTGACAATACTTTATGACATGTTGAGACATATAATCGAAAAGATAGCCTGAAAACGTTCTGGCAATTGCTTATCATTTTATGCATAATTGGTTGAAACATCTGCTATTGTTGTGTTTTATTACATGTCAGAAGGTGGAAGTCTCATCGTAGAGCTCGAGGATTGAACACTGACAGTGAACCCATACTTGAAATTGTAAACTAAACTTAAGACAAAAAAGAATGACCACCACCAATGATTCTTCTGTTGCCTATTTTCTTCAGTCAATAATTGTTATCAATACAGTGATGGCCCTCTTAGCTTCTTCTCTCAACTTCTTGACAATCTTCACTTTCGTAAAGACATCATCTTTACGAGAAAAACCTTCGAACGTTCTTGTTCTTGGCTTGGCCATCGCTGACTTCAGTGCTGGTGTCATTGCACAGCCTGCTTTTGTTTCCTGGAACATTTATATCTTTTTATCAAGTGACGATAAGTTGGAGACAACTCAAGAAATAGTATTGCGCGTCTTCCACTCAATATCTAATGTGATACTCTTAGTGTCATTTTTGAATATAATTGCCATCACTGCAGATCGATTCCTGGCTGTTTATCTTCACTTGCGATACCAAGAACTTGTCACAACCAAACGATGCGGTATAGCATTAGCTTGTATTTGGGTATTTTGTCTAGCTTTCAATGTGGCGACTAGCAGTTTAATGCTTGTTTCTTATGAGGGATATATAGTGTTCCTAACCCTGTATATTGCTTTGGGAGTTATAAACATATTTCTTCTTGTCAAAATCTCTCGAGTCATCCGGCGACACTCGGTGCAGATCCAAGCCCAACAGCAATCATTACAACAGTCTATAGACATGCCCAGATACAAGAAATCCGTGAAAACTATGTACTATGTTAGTGGGGCATTTTTGTTCAGCTTTATTGCTTCTGTGGCCTTTCATATCCTGCGATTGTGTTTCCAGAATGTCTGGGTGAAAAACAAAATGTTTTTAGATGGAGGAATATGGACTTTCGTGATGTTGAATAGCGTATTGAATCCAATTATTTACTGTATGCGAGTTGGAGAAATACGTACCGCGAT